ATGCCAAGTGCCGAGCAGTACCAGCATCAGGAACAATATTATCAAGCTGAAGAAAATCAGCAATGGAATGATCAGTACAACTATGAACAAGAAGAGTATTATCCTGAAGAACAGGAGGCGCACGAACCTATGATGAAGATTCCCCATTTTCCTTTCATGAAGAGCATTACTGACCCAAAAATACTCGTAAACTAACAAAGCTTCCTAAGTTTCCTAACCCATTTCTGGAACCTGATTTGTCTTCGTTTATTTCAGCATTGGAAAAATTTGATGATGAAGATGGTCCCATGACTAAGGATGAAAAAGAGTTTCTTTTGAATGATTCTTTGCTTCGTATACCTATGCCAAAACAAGACGTAAATTCTATGGAGGATTCGATGAGAAAAAAGCGACTATCACCTACATCTTTGGTGATTTGGAAGACAATTGGAGGAATTGAAAGTGGAAAAGTTTTACGAGTATTATTTGATTCAGGGGGATCGCATACGATGATCAATGCAAGGGCGATTCCTGAAGATGCTAAGGTACAAAGTATTCAAAATGCGAAGAAATGTACTACTCTTGCTGGTGATTTTGTTTCTGACAAATGTGTAAAATTGCGGGACGGAGTCTTTCCCGAATTTGACAAACACCGCAGAATCGCAGGTGTCGACGGTGTCAAGGCGAATGTCTTTGATTCGCCAGCATGTCCACATGACGTCATAATCGGACGCGACCTTCTACACGAAATGGGCTTGGATATCCAATTTTCAAACGGAAAAGTCAAATGGATAGACAAGTTCATTCCAATGAAAGCTCCAGATCATTGGCAAAATCACACTCAATGGCATTGGATCGCGATGTTTTAGATATCTACGATGCTGATGATGCTGATGATGCCTTTATCATGGATGCAAAATATGAAGCTACTTCAGGTGCTGAAGTTGCTGACAAGCAACAACATCTAACTGAAGATCAGCGCAAACTTTTGGCTCAAGCGTTGAAGAATACAGACAAGATTTTTGATGGTCAACTCGGCCATTACAAGCATGAGAAGGTTCCCTTGGAGCTCATTGAGAATGCGCAACCCGTGTTTTCAAAAGCGTATTCTGTACCGAAGCAACATGAACCTGCATTTCTCAAAGAACTGAAACATCTACAAGAAATAGGAGTTCTTGAACGAACAGGCCCGTCGGAATGGGCATCGCCAACATTCATCATTCCAAAGAAGGACGGTAGGGTGCGATGGATCAGCGATCTCAGACAGCTGAACAAGAATATCAAGCGTAAAGTATACCCCTTACCTTTGATTGATGATATTGTTGCGCGTCGTTCTGGCTACAAGTACTTCACAAAACTTGATCTCACAATGATGTATTATTCTTTTGAATTGGATGAGCCGAGCAAAAAACTTTGCACGATCAACACCCAGTACGGTCTGTACCAATACAACCGCATGGCTATGGGATTGAAACCGGCTCCTGACTTTGCCCAGTACTACATCGAACAAACTCTACGCGACCTAAAACAAAAAGGTGTCGAAATTTATATTGACGATGTTGGCCTGTTCTCCAATTCCTACGAAGAACATATGGCCTTGATCCAAGAAGTATTGCAGCGACTACAAGCTGCTGGTTTCAAAATCAATCCCTTGAAGTGCGAGTGGTGTGTCCAAGAAACTGATTTCTTGGGCCATTGGTTGACTCCTGAAGGCGTCAAACCGTGGAAGAAAGAGATTGATGCCATCCTCAAGATGTCAGCACCTACAAATGTAACAGAATTGCGTGCATTTCTTTGTGCTGTTACCTTTTACCGCCACATGTGGCCGCGTCGATCTCATCTTCTCAAACCCCTTACAGAGCTCACAGGCAAAGGAATGTTTGAATGGACTGATCAATGTGCAAAAGCTTTCGCTGAGATGAAAGCTCTCATGGCTAGCGATATAATGATGCGCTACCCCAATCCAAACAAACCCTTTGAAATCTATACTGATGCGTCTGACTACCAGATGGGCGCTGACATCATGCAGGAAGGTAAACCCGTCGCCTACTGGAGTCGTAAGCTCAATGCTGCACAACGCAATTACTCAGTAATGGAAAAAGAAATGTTGGCTGTTGTACATTGTTTGAAAGAATTTTGATCTATGATATATGGTGCCAAGTTAACTATTTTTACTGATCATAAAAATCTCACCATGCGAACGTTGAACACACAACGAGTTCTTCGTTGGCGTATGTTTGTTGAAGAGTTTGGTCCCGATTTCGTCTATTTGCTTGGCTTCCGCAAATGGAGAATCCGTCTGTAGGGAAGAGTCCAAATAAGGGTAAATTGATTGCGTTTGATAAAATTACAGGTTTCTGTTGATCCTGGAGACGAAATCTACACGTTTGAAAATAATGTTCTCGTAAAAGAAAATGATTTGATCACGCCACCAACAGAAGCCGAGTTCAACAGTACCTTTTGATGTCAGTTCTCCTGTTGCCGAGATGGAGATATTCAGGAACACCTGACCATTGACGACATTGAAATGGAAGAGTCCTTTTTGAATCATCCTCCTCTACAGACGATGCCAAACCCAATCACAATGCCAAACATTCAACAACATCAAACTCAAGATCAACTGCTCATGCAACGAGCTCAACGCGATGCACAGCACTACCAGATCACGACAATTGACGAGCGTCTCATCATCACCTATCAAATCGATCCTGCACGTCAAGACGATTGGAGAATTTACTTGCCTTTGAGTTTGGTTGATGATGTGATCACCTGGTATCACCTTGTGCTTGGACACAGAGGAAAAACGTCAATGTATGCTACAATTGCAAAGCGATTCTATTCTCCTGGATTGAAGCAACAAATTGAACGATTCAATTGTGAAATTTGCCAACTCAATAAAGCGGCAAATGTTCAATACGGACAGTTACCTGAACGACACGCGGATTTGGTTCCATGGTTCTCCGTTGCGGTCGATTTGATTGGTCCATGGAAAATTGACGTCAACGGTAGAGAACTTGAATTCAACGCGTTGACTTGTATTGATCCCGTGACAAATCTCACTGAACTTGCTTTTATCGAGAATAAAACTGCAACACACGTAGCAAGCGTGTTTGAAATGCTGTGGTTGTCGCGATATCCAAGACCATACAAATGTATTCACGATCAAGGAGGCGAATTCATTGGCGAAGCCTTCCAAGCGAAACTCGCTACTTGGGGAATCCATGATGGCGGAACCACTAGCAAGAATGCGACCGCAAATGCGATCTGTGAAAGAATGCATTTGACAGTGGCAAACATTTTGCGCACCAGATACAATAATGCCGCTCCAAACTTTCAAGTTGCTGTTGAAGAAGTCAAGCGAGCTCTTGCTGCTTGTAACCATGCAATGAGATGTGCTGTATCGACAGCTTTGATGAACAATACTCCTGGTGAGACTGTGTTTCATCGTGACATGTTACTAAACATTCCTGTGATTGTCGATCTACTTTCTATGCAGCAAAAGAGACAGTATAAGATCAATGAAAACTTGAGGAGACAGAACGCGAAACAAAAAGAGTTTGATTACAGAATTGGTGGAGAAGTTTTGATCAAGAATACTGATGGAAGAAATTTGGATCCGAAATACAGAGGTCCGTATCCTATTACAAATGTTTACACTAATGGTACAGTGGAAATTCAGCGCACAAATGCGATCTGTGAGAGGATCAACATCAGACGGCTTGTGCCGTTCCGTCGAGTCTAATGGACGATATACTTGCATCGCCCATTGCGTCAAGAACCACCTCTGAAGTTGAATGGAGGATCAAGTGGATGTAAGGACGCCTTGTGACTTTAGTGTATGATCAATCGACTGGCTCTGATCATAGAAGGGAAGAGTGTAATGACCTTGGAGTGACCTTGGAACTAGATTAGACCCTTTGGAGGTACAGACATAGCTTTAGGCCTAACTCTTACGTCACTCCTTTCTGTGGCTTTCTGAGAGACTCTTATAACTTCTGTTGTGACCCATTCCTATCTCTTCTTCTAGGCTGGTTCACATTGAACTCTTTTTAAACGCCACCAATTGACAACGCCAGACTTGCAGTTTTGGGCTAGTATGCTCGGCCCGTACGAAATGAAATTCAACAAAATTCAACGAAACTCTACGAAATTCAACGCTCAACGAAAGCTACGAAATCTCTCTGCGAGCTAATTTTGTAAATCTGTAGATTTGCGGTGTGTTTTTCGCGCAAGAAAAAGACTGAAAAGCACATTGCAACGGTCGTGGAAACACCTGCAACGAAACCAACGAAATCCAACGAAATCCAACGAAACCCAACGAAACCCAACGAAACCCAACGAATTCCAACGAATCTTACGAAACACAACGAAATCGAACGAGATCCAACGAAACCTACAAGGCACATGTGATATATATGTGCACAGGAGTATTTGAAAACGACGTATTTTTCGTACTAAGGCCACGGCAATCCGTGATCCAACGGTATTCATTCACGGATGATGTTAGCGGCACTGGAGTATTTGAAAATCAAATACTACCTCTAAAGTAACCCGGAGCTAAGGTATATCAGCCAATCAAAACTAAGGTGTCGCTTTCAAACTAAGCAAATGTGGAGGGAAAACCTTAGCCAATGACAATCTTTTTCTTTTCCAACAATTATGAGCACTAAAAACCAAAGAACAACTTCGGTCTAGTTAGTCCATTGTCCATGAAATGCAAAACATTTTTGTCGCTCCTACTGCCTTTTGATACAGTATGGTTTGGCATTCAACCAGCAATACTCCGTCGCCGTCGCTTGAGTAACTACAAACTTATCAAGCCATCTCTGAGAAGAATCCATCAAGCAGAAGAGAAATGGCGTCGCTCCAGGTAAAGTTGATTGTGATATGTTGTGATTGTCAATCATGACCGTGACATTGGTCGTACCCAACAATACACCGTTGTCGTCGCTTGATTATCAGTACAGACTTATCAATCCATCTCTGGGGAGAATCCATCTAGCAGAAGAGAAATGGTGTCGCTCGAGGTAACGTTGATTGTGATATGCTGCGATTGTCAATCATGACCATGACAGTGTTCGCCATTGGTTGCATTACACTGTTGTCGTTGCTTGATTATTACAGACTCATCAAGCCATCTCTGAGAACAATCCATCCAGCAGAAGCGAAATGGCGTCGCTCAACAAGGTAATTTTGATTGTTGGATGTTTACATCGTGCATCATATTGATGAAAGAAGTCGCTCATGTCATGATATGGTTTTGTTGCATTCAACCAACAATACACCATCGTTGTTGCTTGATTGCTGAGACTTATCAAATCAACCGAACAGAAGAGAAATGGAGTATGTCAAGGTAAGTTTGACTGTCGGATGTTGCAATTGTGAATCATGAAGATGAGGACGGTGGTCATCAATACTCAACTACTTCACCCAACAATACACCATTGTCGTTGCTTGATTACTACAGACTTTGTATCAAGCCATCTCTGAAAAGAATCGATCCAGAAGAAAAGAAATGGTGTCCCTCAAGGTAAGTTTGATTGTTGAAGGTTGCGATTTGCATTCATGACCGTGACAGTGGTCGCTATTGCTTGACTACTTTACCCAACAATACATTGTCGTTGTTGCTTGATTACTACATACTCATCAATCCATCTCTGAGAAGACTCCATCCAGCAGAAGAGAAATGGCGTCGCTCCAGGTAAGGTTGATTGTGATATGTTGTGATCGTCGACCATGTTGATGAAACAAGTCGCTCATGTCTTGATGTGGTGTGCATTCAACCAACATTACACAGACCTCGTTGCTTGATTACTACAGACTCATGAAGTTGTCGTTGCTTTTTTATTACAGACTTATCAAGCCATCTCTGAGAACAATCCATCCAGCAGAAGTGAAATGGCGTTGCTCAACAACGTAAGTTTGATTGTTGGATGCTTCCATTGTGCATCATGTTGATGAAACAAGTCGCTCATGCCTTGATATGGTTTGCATTCAACCAATAATACACTGGCAGCGTCACTTGATTACTACAGACTTATCAAGCCATCTCTGGGGCGAATCCATCAAACAGAAGAGAAATGGCGTCGCTCTAGGTGTGTTTAATTGTTGTATGTTGCGTTTGTCAAGGAGGATGGTCACAGTGGTCTCCATTTCTTGACTACTTTACCCAAGAATACACCCTCGTCGTCGCTTGATTACTAGGACAGACTTATCATTCCTCATAGCTTCTAATACCATACAAAACACACTTTTTAAAAAAAAGCTGAGCACCAGCATATTAGTACTAAGAATGAACAAAGTTCTGTAGCAAATAATGGATCTTCTTATTTTGCTTTTGAAAGATTATCAAATGTCTCCTGTTCTTTGGTCATTTTTTCTTTCTAGGGTGGCCCTCCATGAAAGAAATCAGGTAAGTGTCCGGCTAAGGGTTTCCAAGATAGTACTAGCGTGATACTACTACAGCCAGCAGAAGGTTTTGTACAAAGGCGTCCCTTGGCTTGGCGTGTACGACTGGCGATACCTTGTTGACGAAGCTGATGATTTGTCATCATCACTTGATGCACCAATTCCGTAGTCCCCAATTCCATTTGCAGACCTGTCATCATCCTCGTCATATTTCATTCCCACTTGTAAAATCAACAGTGCCTTGGTTTGGGACAAATTTTCCTTTTGGCATTGACGGGTGGTTAAGGACCTCTGCCATCAGTTCTTTTGAAATCTTGAAAATCGCTTCCTCCATAGGGTGTGGTGACTTTGCAGAGGATGGATCATTTTGATGTCGCCGTGAGAGGAAGTACTCATGGCTTCTCTTAGCTTTCTCCTCCTTTGCAGTTTGAAGTTTCTTTGACTTCCGGTCGCCTCCAGCCTTATGATTGATTTTTTTGTTCTTATCTTCCTTTCGGACGGCCCATGTTGATGTTGACGCAAATGAAAAGACGAAATTTCCAAAGTTCACAACTTTCAAAATAAAACTGTTGGTCGTTATGTCCGTTATTTGTCGTTACGACCATTTCAAATATATTTTTGATCCGGAAAGTGAGATTTGTAAGCGACATCTTGGTTGTGTAGACGTGCGTAGAATCTGTACTGTCGCTCACAAAAAAAATCCGCACATATTTATCATACCTGCCAACCTAGGCACATGTGATATATATGTGCACAGGAGTATTTGAAAACGACGTATTTTTCGTACTAAGGCCACGGCAATCCGTGATCCAACGGTATTCATTCACGGATGATGTTAGCGGCACTGGAGTATTTGAAAATCAAATACTACCTCTAAAGTAACCCGGAGCTAAGGTATATCAGCCAATCAAAACTAAGGTGTCGCTTTCAAACTAAGCAAATGTGGAGGGAAAACCTTAGCCAATGACAATCTTTTTCTTTTCCAACAATTATGAGCACTAAAAACCAAAGAACAACTTCGGTCTAGTTAGTCCATTGTCCATGAAATGCAAAACATTTTTGTCGCTCCTACTGCCTTTTGATACAGTATGGTTTGGCATTCAACCAGCAATACTCCGTCGCCGTCGCTTGAGTAACTACAAACTTATCAAGCCATCTCTGAGAAGAATCCATCAAGCAGAAGAGAAATGGCGTCGCTCCAGGTAAAGTTGATTGTGATATGTTGTGATTGTCAATCATGACCGTGACATTGGTCGTACCCAACAATACACCGTTGTCGTCGCTTGATTATCAGTACAGACTTATCAATCCATCTCTGGGGAGAATCCATCTAGCAGAAGAGAAATGGTGTCGCTCGAGGTAACGTTGATTGTGATATGCTGCGATTGTCAATCATGACCATGACAGTGTTCGCCATTGGTTGCATTACACTGTTGTCGTTGCTTGATTATTACAGACTCATCAAGCCATCTCTGAGAACAATCCATCCAGCAGAAGCGAAATGGCGTCGCTCAACAAGGTAATTTTGATTGTTGGATGTTTACATCGTGCATCATATTGATGAAAGAAGTCGCTCATGTCATGATATGGTTTTGTTGCATTCAACCAACAATACACCATCGTTGTTGCTTGATTGCTGAGACTTATCAAATCAACCGAACAGAAGAGAAATGGAGTATGTCAAGGTAAGTTTGACTGTCGGATGTTGCAATTGTGAATCATGAAGATGAGGACGGTGGTCATCAATACTCAACTACTTCACCCAACAATACACCATTGTCGTTGCTTGATTACTACAGACTTTGTATCAAGCCATCTCTGAAAAGAATCGATCCAGAAGAAAAGAAATGGTGTCCCTCAAGGTAAGTTTGATTGTTGAAGGTTGCGATTTGCATTCATGACCGTGACAGTGGTCGCTATTGCTTGACTACTTTACCCAACAATACATTGTCGTTGTTGCTTGATTACTACATACTCATCAATCCATCTCTGAGAAGACTCCATCCAGCAGAAGAGAAATGGCGTCGCTCCAGGTAAGGTTGATTGTGATATGTTGTGATCGTCGACCATGTTGATGAAACAAGTCGCTCATGTCTTGATGTGGTGTGCATTCAACCAACATTACACAGACCTCGTTGCTTGATTACTACAGACTCATGAAGTTGTCGTTGCTTTTTTATTACAGACTTATCAAGCCATCTCTGAGAACAATCCATCCAGCAGAAGTGAAATGGCGTTGCTCAACAACGTAAGTTTGATTGTTGGATGCTTCCATTGTGCATCATGTTGATGAAACAAGTCGCTCATGCCTTGATATGGTTTGCATTCAACCAA